GCTGTGTCTCTCTCTGTCAAATAAATAAATAAAATCTTAAAAAAAAAAAAAAAGATGGGGCGCCTGGGTGGCTCAGATGGTTAAGCGTCTGCCTTCAGCTTAGGTCATGATCCCAGGGTCTTGGGATGGAGCCCCACATTGGGCTTCCTGCTCAGCAGGGGGCCTGCTCTCCCCCCACCCCCGGCTCTGCTTCTCCCCCTGCTCATATTCTCTCTCTCTCTCTGTATTTCTGTGTCTCGAATGAATAAATAAAAAAATCTTTAAAAAAAAAAAAAAAGAAAGAAATCTCACTTGGAAGGTAAGCTTGTCTCTTCTGGGGTAGGGCTCCTTCATCACCTAGATGAGATCTGGCCATGGACAGCAGGAGGGGGCGGGTGACAGGCAAGGTTCAATTTGATCACAAATCTACTTAAAAAAAAAAAAAAGATTTTATTTTTAAGTAATCTCTACACCCAACATGGGGCTCAAACTCATGCCCATGAGATCAAGAGTCACATACTCCTCTTACTGAGCCAGCCAGGCACCCCACAAATCTACTTTTTTAATGCATATTCTTAAAAACCTGAAGGAAATATACCAAAATATAGTAGACATTACAGATGATTTCCCCTATCCATGCTAGTCCTACGAATTTAAAATTAATCTTGGGGCCTGGGTGGCTCAGTCAGTTAAGCATCCAACTCTCGATCTTGGCTCATATCATGATCTCAGGTTCCTGGGATCAAGTCCCATATTGGGCTCCACACTCACCGGGGAGTCTGCTTGGGATTTTCTCTCTCCTCTCCCTGTGCACCCCTGCCCCACTCATGTGCTCACTCTCTCTCTCTCAAATAAATAAATAAAATGGCATCTTGTCTTATTTGAACTTAACTATTAGTGTGGTTGAGTGTTTCTTACCGTATTTATTGACCAACTGGGACCCTAAATCCGTGAACTGCCTAGTCGTAGCACTTGCTTGTTTTTCTATTGGATTCTCTTTTTCTTTAGATAAAATTAGCGTTTTTTTTAAGGTTTTATTTATTTATTAGAGAGAGAGAGCACAAGCAGGGGGAGCGGCAGAGGGAGAGGGAGAAGCAGACTCCCCACTGAGCAGGGAGCCTGATGCGGGGCTCAATCCCAGGACCCTGAGATCATGACCTGAGCCGAAGGCAGACACTTTACCGATTGAGCCACCCAGGCATCCCTAAAATTAGTTTTTAATATTGCAAATATCTTCTCCCTGCCTGGGGGTTAGGGATTCAAATAATGAATGGGGGGGGGCACAATTCAGTCCATAGCAACTTGAAAGAGACATTTAGAACAGATGTAACTGACAAAAGTATTCATTTCCAGAATATGCAAAGTATTCCTCAAAAACCAGAACAGCAACTCAGTAGAAAAATGAGCGATAAATAACAATAAGCAGTTCTGGAACAGAAAACTCAAGTGGCTACATGCACATAAGAAAAGATGCTCAACCCCAATGGTAATCAAGGGAATGAGTAAAGATACCATTTGACACCAATCAGAGTAAAAATCAAGTCTGATACCAGCAGAGTATGGGGATTCACATTACTAATACAGCTGAGGGTCCATGTACATAAGCACGTGCTCTCTCTCTCTAATTAATTAATTATTTTTTAAAAAGTGGAATGATGATGAGAACCCAGATCAGAGAATTGGGAAGCAGATTCCTGGGGAGTGGAGAAATCCCCCTCCCATGGGGATGGTTCCAGAAGTGTTTGTGGCAGGTCCTTCCCTATAGTGAGCACAAGGGGCCATGCTGGGCTATACATCTGTGCTCAGAGCCAGCCCTGCACCCCAGAGCTCAAAGTCCAGACTGGAGCCAGCCAGTGGTCAAGTGGGAGCCCTGTGCAGGGCACTGTGGGGCAGCTGGTTCCCCAGGAAGGCTGTGAAGGTGGCCTGGAAATGGACACAGGAGAGAGGCTGAGCTCTATTCTGGGTGAAGAAGGGCCAGGGTGAGGAAGGAGCAGGACCACCAAACAGCTTACACTTGGCACTCCAGAAAAAGGGGTCCCAACCCAGCAGAGGGCCCGGTGCCTCTTCCTACTGTCCCCACCCTCAACCCGGTGTTGGTACCCCTCCTCCTCCTGGAGCCTCTTCTCCCACACAGGCCACCCCCCACCCCCGCCGGCCCCTGGCTGGTCTCACCCTGCCCTGCCCTCCCAGGCCCTGAGCTGTCATTGTGGCTAGGTCACTTGGGGACAAGGGGGTAGGCGGAGGTGAGGGGTTTAACAAAGGGTGGGAGGGAACTTTTGCAGGGTGATTGTGGTGATATTTTCATGGTTCTAGACATAGGTCACAACTCCTCAAACTATACACTTCACATGAGTGCAATTCAGTGTATGTCAATTACACCTCAATCAAGCTATAAACCAAAACTATGGGCCAAATAATTTTTTAAAGATTTATTTATTTGAGAGAGAGCGGGGCATGAGCAGGGGGAGGGGCAGAGGGAGAGGGACAAGCAGACTCCCTGCTGAGCACGGAGCCCAACACGGGGCTCGATCCCACGACCCTGAGATCGTGACCCAAGCCGGAATCAAGAGTCGGACGCTCAAACGACTGGGCCACCCAGGCCGCCCCAGGACACGTATTTTTAATTTACAATTTTGAAAACTAGATTAACATTTTGTGTTCGGTAAGTAAACTTAGAGGGAAGCCAATTTTCAGTCTAGATCACACTCTCGCCAGTAGCCTCCAGCAGTTGAGAGCACAGAGCCACACTCGTGTTTACTGATATTTTATTCAGTGGGGAAGGATTTTTTTGTCACCTTCAAATTTAGTAAAGTACATTTCTTAGAGTAAAAATAGAACATTAGTTTGTAAAGCACAATGTAATTCCTCCTGACTCAGCCGAGGTTTGGATGATTTTCTTCTCTAAACATTTCACTCTGAAGTTCCTGGCACCGGCCCCCATCTTCCTGTGATGACAGACAGGCCTTCCAGTAGGCCCCCGCCCAGAGCACTTTGTAGCCCTCTCCCCCAAGGCCAAGATCTTGGCCGGGGAATGGGCGTGAGGAGCCAGCGGGGAGAGGTTTGTGTGGGATTCAGAACGTCTTTTTTTGGCCTCAGGTCATACTTTCCAAAGATGTGAACATCTAATTCCCATCATTCTTCTCCCATTGTGTAAAAATTGCCGAAATTACATGTGGTGGTGGAGGAGTTCAGAGTTAGTTTTGTGTATTTTTTGCTTGTTTTATTTTATTTAAATTCAATTAATTAACATATAATGTATTATTGGTTTCAGAGGTGGAGGTCAGTGATTCATTAGTCTTATATAATACCCAGTGCTCATTACATAATTCTGTGTATTTCCGATGGACACTTCTCAGCCTTCACAAGACACCTGTCAGGGGGCTCCTGCCGGGCTCAGTTGGTTCAGTGTCCGACTCTTGGTTTCCGCTCCAGTCATGATCTCGGGGTTCTGGGATCAAGCCCAGTATGTTGGGCTCCGCGCTCAGTGGGGAATCTGCTTGTCCCTCTCCCTTTGCCCCTCCCCTCACTTGTGCTCTCTCTCTCAAATGAATAAACGAAATCTTGAAAAAAAAAAAAAGACACCTGTCAGGTACTGTTTCCTTGAGATGCTCTGAAATATAGATGTGACGAGGTGCCCCTCAAACTCCAAGACTTGACAGTAAAGTTATCCTCTGCGAGTTCAGTTAGTGAAATCCATACTGATTACATTTGTTACCTGAAGAAATAATGCAAGAGATCATCAAAATACATGAATGAAGAGTTCTAGAATCCTCTACCCGTTGGCAAGGTTATATGGGTCCACTCCCAGAGACCTGCACCAGAATCCAGGGATAAATATGAAATCCATCAATTCCCTGTCGGTGTAGGGCTGTTTCACCAAAGCGCCAAGTTAGAAGGAGCGAGGAAAAGGGAAGTCCAGGGGAAGATTCCGTCTCCACCACGGTCCCCAGGACAGAAGGGCTGAGTTGGACAGAGCCCTGGTCCTAAGATACGAGGGGAGAACGTAGACAGAGGACCGGAGTAGGCAGCCTCTGTCATCTTCCAACTGACCTTTGGGCGTCACCAGAGAGGGGACCTAAGACTCACCTGTCACTGGAAGAGTACGTGCGCACACACACGTTATCAGCATGGTGGGCTACACATTGGACTTTAGTGAGTTTGTTTGGTGTAAGTCAGGATCCACATGGGATGGTCTGCTAACACACATTTTCTAGAAGCAGCCCCTCTCCAAGCCCATGGCTGTAATGGGAGTTGTCATGTTCATATGATGTGATCAACCTTTGGCCACGGTTTATTGAATAAGAGCTGGACTCCGGATCCAAATGGAGTGAATGTGTACCTTTCCTCAGAACTTTGGATGCGAGTCTGACAGAAAGAACGCTGGCTTTCTCCACAGGGGTTGGGCTACAGCTTGTACACACAGTGGCTGGGACCTGGTCAGAGAGAGAGCTGAGGTGCAGTGAGGGGAAGGTGCAGGTTCACAGGGACGGGTAGAGGTGTGAGAAGGAAAGGATGCTCACTCCTGGGCCTTAGAGCCCTGGGGCCCCAAGCTCCAGTGCACCCTACCCTTGGAGCCAGTGAAGGGGCCCAGGAGCATTCTCATACATTCCCTCTCTTTGGGTCTGAACAGTCAGAGTAGAGTTCTGCTGCATGCATCCAACACAAACTGGGCTAAGTATCCCGAGGGGGCCCATAGCCCCACCTGGGAAACCCTGACCCCAGAGAGCCCATCTGCCCTGCTCAAGAGGACACTGCTGCCTAGGTGCAGCACGACTGGGTCTCTGTGCAGAGCCAGGAATGAGCAAAACCCTCAGCTGGACATGCAGCACAGGGTGGGGGCTTGACCACTGGGCGGCAGGCTTGCTCGAATCCATAGGGTAAGGACAAAATGATGTGAAGCACAGAGGAGAGAGGAACATCTGCTGAGCCTCAATTTTTTTTTTTTTTTAAGATTTTATGTATTTATGAGAGAGAGAGAGAGAGCATGAGCAGGGGCAGAGGGAGAGGGAGAAAAACAGAGTCCCCGCTGAGCAGGGAGCCTGATGTGGGACTGGATCCCAGGACCCTGGGGTCATGACCTAAGCCAAACGCAGATGCTTAACGACTGAGCCACCCAGCTGTCCCATCCCTGCTGAGCCTCAAATTGTGCAGATTCTCAGGATTCATCTTCTCACTCGTCCTGCTTTACTCAGAGAGCCCATTGTACAGATGCCGAGGTAGAAGACTGGAAGTTAGTCAGTTGTGCTCACATGTCAGTCCTCAGCCAGGGTGCTGGGCAAAAACAGGTGCTCGGTGTGCACTTGGCGCTGGATAGTGTGTGAGCGAGGTCTCCCTCAGCCTCTTAAATCTTTTATGCTCCACTGGGGTGGCCTAGCTCTGGCAGATGCCACAGTGCACAGGGCAGGAAAGAAAGGGGAGAGGAAGATGGGGGGTGAGGGGGACAAGGTGAACGACCCAGAGTGACCAGAGATGGACACAGGGACAGCAGGCGCAGCACAAGTCTGGCATTTGGGAAACCAGCATTAGTGCTTGGGCCTGACCTCTGGGCCTTTCCAAGGTGCCACAAAGGACAAAGCTAACACATGCAAGGTGCAGTTGAATTTTACCGAGTTACCATGACAACAGGAGGAGTAAGCAGAGAGAAACTCCCCCAAATTAGCACTCCTTATTTCAGACAATTTTAAGGTTTCCTTTGCTTTCTGTATATACAAAGGCAAACACACGCAGCTGTGCACTGCGTCATGCTGACGTCTCGGGAATAACCCATGTGGCTCACGACACCAGAGCGAAGAAGGAGCTGGGAGTTGCTCATTTAGTCTTTTAGCAGATGAGGCCTGAAGTGCTTTTCCAACAGTGTATCCGCCCCGAGACACTGGTGGAGAGGCTGGCAGCCCTCTGCTCCGGCTCACGTTTCTCCATGGCTTCGAAGGGACCAAAGCAGAGCACCGTCACCCATTGAAGGGGGAGCTCGGAGTTGGCAGGCCTGCAGACCGGCTTCGGCAGCGAAGGTTTCAGGAAACTCTGACTAGGGTTCACATGTACACAATCACCCTTTCAGAGGACCTGGCATTCCCTCAGGGAATTCAGAGATGGCCTGTGCCAAAGGGGAGAAGCGAGGTCTCTGCCGATCGCCACGGGGCCAGAGGGCCGCTACCGGGACCACCCGCCCCTGCCGGTCCCCTCGCCAGCAGCCTCACCTCCAGGCACGGGGTGCGTGTGCCTGTGACCGAGGAGCCCCCAGCAGCCGCCCTAGACCTGAGGGACAGCCTGGGCTGGTGCAGAAAGCCGAACAGACAGGGCCTATGTCGCAGCCAGCGGGCCACCGCATTCAAGCCATTATTTCTGGGTATTCCTGGAAGAGACTGGCATGTGATTTGGTAGACCGAGGCGAGACTGTCTGCCATCAGCAACGTGGCGGCATCACCAATGCAATCCGCTGATGGCCCCAGGAGAATGCAAAGGCAGAGGAAGGACGACTCCCCCTCTCTCTGCTTGAGCGGGGAGGTCCATCTTTTCTTGCCAGAGCACCTGTTTCTCAGACCATTGGACACCACTGGCTTTCCTGGGTCTCCAGCTTGCAGACGGAGATCGTGGGACGTCACGCACTCCAGTCCCGTGAGCCAATCCCTAAAACAAACCTCAGATCTGTCTCTACCCTATTGGTTGTTTCTCTGGAGAAGCTGACTGAGGCCGGAATCGAAGGCCCGCTCCTACAACCTGCTTTCCAGACTCAGTCCTCCCAGCACGAAGTCACTGTGCAGTCCCAGCAGGCAGCCTTTCTTAACCAGACCCCCTGGGGCAGTGTTTTTACCTCAACTGTACCACCCAAGCTTCAAAAGCAGCAGAGCCTGGCTGTCACCCTACCTCTGGCAGCCCCCAGGGTCTTCTTCAGGGAGAGGCGGCAGCCCAGACTGGCGGCTCTGAGGACAGCCTGTCTCTCACTGGCTACCCTCCCCAGTAACTACTCCCACCCAGGAGCGTGAGAAGGACCCATCTGTCTCCTTGCTGCTGGACTTGATGCCACCACATTCTGCTCTCCATGACAAGAAGCACCTTTACTTTATTTTATTTATTATCATTATTTTTTTTTAGTAGGCTCCACGCCCGGCATGGAGCCCCACGTGGGACTTAAACTCACGACCCTGAGATCAAGACCCGAGCTGAGATCAAGAGTTGGACGCTCAACTGACTGAACCACACAGGTGCCCCATGAAGCACCTTTAAATAGCAAGTGCAGGGACCCCCTCTGCCAGGTGGCTTCTCGGCTGCCCTGGTTCCCCCCGTGCACTCTCGAAGGCAGGGAGGGTCTCTTCATAGAATGAAGGGACTGGGACAAGGGACATGTGAACGTGGCATCTGGGGCAGGGGCTCAAGCTCCATCCTCTAATCATGACCACAACAACCTGGGAGCAGACCAGAACCTTGTGGGTAACATAGCCCCCTCAGGGACCTGGCTGGTCTGAGCACAGACCCTCCCACCACGGAAGCAGATGGCCTCCCCTTGCCTCAGGGTGGGCTCCACCTGGCCGAGGATGGGGGCCTCAAGTACCAGGTGGGAAGAGGTTTCTAAACTCCTCGCAGAAAAAAGACAGAAAGGAAACATCCCCACCTTGAAATGACTGCATCACACTGGTGATTCAAGTGTCTTCCTTTTCCTTCTACAAACTTTTGCAAAGTCCAGTAATTTGTCTCATAGTAAAAAGAATATTTTTTAGGGAAATGCATTTATTGGCAAAATGCTAGGACCTATGCTTATGCCAACCGGTGGTACAGACAGGGAGGAGAGGGCTGTGTGCCAGGTGGAGGGCCTAGAAAGTCAGGCCTGGAATGACGCAGGACTAAGTCCATGGGAATGTCCCAGCAAAGGACAGACTCCAGGGCAGGTGGAAGACAACCCAGTCCATGTCACCAATGGCTGAGAGGGATGGATGTCCCCCGGCCAGGGGATCCCATCTGCAGCCCAACACTCTGGTGAGGAGATCCAGGACCCCAGGCCTGGGCTGGGAGGGATCAAACCTGCTTCTCTAGCCTCTCTGGTCTGGCTTTCCCTTGTGGAGTAAGATCCCCAAGTGGAAGAGCCAGGAAGGGAAGACAGGGAGGCTGAGATGCCCCGGTTTCTGCAGCCAGGCAGTGGGGCCACCTCAGGGCACCCAGGGGACACAGGCAGGAGGACAACAAAGGGCTCCCAGGCCAGGACAAGAGAGGGCAGACAGGGGGGACAGCCGCAGACCCCAGGTCAACTCCTGAGGGAGCTCCAGAATGTTACAGTCCCCCTGGCAGACATCCAGGTGAGCAGATGGCCTCACTGCCCGGTCACTCCCACCTGAGCACGGGAGACGGGGCCATGGGGAGGGAATGTGGACACAGCACAGTTCCCAGAGGAGGGGCCAGTCTGTGGTTTAGATGCTGCTGAGACTGTCCAGTTTGTGGTGGGAGGCAGTCGTGGGAGGAGCACTGTAGGAGGAGTCCCAGGGGGACTGTGGACCAGCTTCCCTTCAGAATGGCTCCTTTGCTTTAGCCGTCCTGTGCCTGTCAGAAATTCCGGCAGATGCCAAGGTCACAGGGGAAGGCCGAGGGGCACCAGCTTCTGCCTCCTGCACATCCCCTGGGCAGCACCCCTGAGTGGCCAGTCTAGGGTAGGAAGAAAGCTGCAGGTCCACATCAGTGCCCACATCAGCAGGAAGCCGGGCCTTGTGCATCTCCGGGGGGGGTCAGCCCCTTCCGCAATCTCCCAGAGCTCCCCAAGATGAGCATTCCTCATCCCAGTGACTGGGGGGCCAGCCTGGGGCCCACACCCTCCCGCTGTCCAGCTGCCCACATCCCACAGGCACTGAGACAGGTCGGCCTACAACCAAACCACAGAGGGCTTCAGAAGAGGGGCTTCTCGGCATCACCTGTGTCCACCAACAAACCCACCTGCTCCAGGGAAACCTGCTCCCACCATGGCTTCCTGGTGTGACCATATGCTGTGAGCTCCTGGAGTGTCCCTCCACCACACCCACCCCTCAGAGACAGGATGGGAGCCAGCCATGGCCCTAGAGTGTTTCTGCCACTGGCCCGTAATGGGGACCCAAGAGGTCTGGGGGACAGAGGAGCTCAGAGGCCCAACACCTCCTCCGCCTTCTTCAGAGGAATCTGCTGCTCAGAGAAGTAGGGTGTGCAGCCCTCACAGGCTGGCCCCAGCACCAGGATCAGTGGGAGAAAAGTGGAAGGCAGAGAGCAATGGCACCCTCGCCCTACCCCCATGGGCCCAGCAGGCCCTCAGGCCTCCAGAGAGGACACCCAGTGGAGCTCCCAAAGACAGGGGTTCCCAGCTGCTGCGGGTCCTGATTTACAGGGAGGCCCTGAGGTCTGCGGGGCAGCTACATTGGGCTGGGCCCCCTCCCAGCATCACCCATCTGCTCAAGAAGACTCCTCCTCAGCCCTTCCCTAATATGGTTTGGTATGTTGGGGTAGTCAAAACCCAAAAGTGCCCAAAACATGTCTAAAAATACACCCAAGGGATTCAGGGGAGACACATCAGGGCCCAAAACAGTCAACATCAGCCCCCTGGATGGGGGTTTCAGGAAGGGGCCCAAGGACAGAGGTGACCCCCAGAAGGTGAGAGCGACACATCACCTAGAGCTTCGCAGAGAAGGATGCGAAATTGTCCAGCAACTTGATGTCATTGGGGAATGTCAGCCATGCCCCACCGTCAACCACCAGCACGGCACCCGTCACGTAGGATGCCAAAGGGCTGGCCAGGTATAGTGCGCTGTGGGCGACCTCTGTCTTGTTGCCCAGCCTCTGCAGGGGGATGGCCAGAGTCTTAGTGCCGGCACTGGCCTGGGGGCCACCTGGAAGGGCAGAAGGAGGCTCAGCCCCGTGAGCCCTAGGACGAGGGCCCTCCACTCTCCTCTGCCCAGCTCTCCCTAAACCACATCCAGGAACACTGGGGGGCACTGTTGGCACCATCCCAGCAAGGCAGGAACAGCAAGGTACGGCCACGGCCGCAGAGCCAACACAGGGCTCTGACACGCACCCCGTCAAGGTTGTGGAGGCGTTCATGGGTGCCCCCCTTTGTGTCTGGCTCATGTGTCAAGGCCGGCAGCTCTGCGGCCTCTACCTCCAAGGAGCTGCTGTCCACGTCTGGCCAACCATTAGTCTATCACAGGTGTGCTCCCCAAGAATGGCCAAGACTTGGCTTGGAGACAGCGTCTTTGCCAGCCCTGGGAGCCATGAGGAAGTGGTCCTTCTCCTCGGCCTGTCCCAGCCAGGTGGGAGAGGGTCCCATGGAGGCACTGTGGGGCACGGGGTTCCCCAAGAGGCTTACCCAGCCGCCGGAACCCCTCTGTGCCACTGATGGGGCCAGGCGCGAGGCTGTTGACACGGATGTTCTGGGGACCCCACTCCACAGCCAAGTGCCGTGTCATTGCATCTGCAGAGAAGGCAGGCAGGCATGAGGGGGGTGCAGGGCTACTCTGCTTTCTGGGGTGGCTCGGGTGTGAGTCGGGGCTCAGGGCCAGGCCTCTCCACTGCCCACCACTGGGCTTAACTTCACTAGGACACTGCTGGCTTCCACAGACAGGCAGGAGAGGGATCTAAAGGGAGCCCAGGCAGGCAGACCAGAGGGGGTGCCCGTACCCACAGCTGCTTTGGCAGAGCCTGCATGCACTTGAAGCACCTGCCCCCGGGTACCCAGGGTCGCGGTGATGTTCACGATCACCCCTCCATGGTCCTGTAACACACGGGGGAGTGTAGTGAGTGGGTGGCCAGAGGAGACGTCTCCCAGGTAGAAAGAACACTCACCCTGAAGAACTTTTCATAAAGCACACGAGATGTGTTGAAGGTGCCCAAGGTGTCGATGTCCATCACGGTCTTAAAGGCATTGAAGGACAATGTGCTGGCAGGGCACAGGAAGTTTCCAGCTGCACCTGCAGTGTGCAAGAAGACAATGGCTGGTGCTGGAGCCCCAGGCACTTAGGACACATGGACCCTCAGGGTGGTCCAGGCTGGACAGGGAAGGGGCCCAAGCACTTGGGTAAATGCTTGAATGATAGGGCAGGATGGATATCATGGGTTGAATTATGTCCCTCAAAAACATATGCTGAAGGGGCGCCTGGGTGGCTCAGTCAGTTAAGCATCTGACTCTTGATTTCAGGTCAGATCATGGTCTCAAGGTTGTGAGATTGAGCCCTGGGTCGGGCTCTGCACTGAGCATGGAGCCTGCCTAAGACTCTCTCTCCTCCCCACATCTAAAATAATAATAATAATAATAGGGGTGAAGAGTCTGCTTCTCCCTATCCCTCAGCTCCTCCCCCTGCTCATGCTCTCTCTCTCTCTCAAATAAATAAAATCTTCAAATAATAATAATAATTTATAAAGACATGCTAAAGTCCTAATCCCTGGTACCTGTGAATGTGACCTTATTTGGAAATAGGATCTTTGCAATGCAATTGAATTAAGATGAGGTCACCCGGGATTAGGGGGGCCTAAATCCAAGGACTGGTGTCCTCCTAAGAAAAGGAGAAAAGACACAGAGACACATGGGGGAGGCCATGCAGAGACTGGAGTGATCCCGCCCCAAGCCAAGGAGCACCAAGGATTGCCAGCAACACCAGAAGCTGAGAGAAAGGCCCGGAACAGATCCTCCCTTGGACCCGTGGGAGGGTGACCCCACCGTGGTTTGGGATTTGTGACCTCCACAAGTATGAGAGAACATATTTCTATTGTTTTAAGCTACTCAGCTCGTGGTACCTTGTTAGCTGCAGGAAATCAATACAGCCTGTGTTTTTAAAAGGAAATTTCAGCAAAGAGTGAACCTGATGAAAACCGCAGACTGAGGTTAACAGCATGGACCATACTGGTTCATCAACTCCTACAAATACAAGCTGTCCACACCAGGGGGCACTGTGTGTGGGGATACACGGAATTCTAGGTACTAGCGGCTCAATTACTCTGTAAATCTAAAACTCTACTAAAAAAATTAAGTTTATTCCTTTTTTTTCTTTTAAGGGGAGAATTTTGGGACATCAGAGTACCCTGACTCTGAGTAGGCGGAGTTCCAGGATGTCCACTTGAGCCATGACTGCACTGACCCAGACGGAGCCTGGGGCCCAGGACGGGAGTTCTGAGGCCGACCCATCAGAAGCCCCTGGGCCTCACTCATCAGCCACTCACAGTTAACAAGAATGTCGATTTTCCCAAACTCCTTCAGCGCCTGGTCCACGGCAGCTGCGACGGCTGGGAGAGCCCGAACATCCAGAGATAAAGGGAGGCACCGCCGGCCAGTGGCGGCAGTCAGCTTTCCCGCAGCCTGGAAGCCAGACAGGAAGAGAGGTGGCCAGCAGCCCTGTGGCTTCCGAACCTGACGAGGGTGATGTGTCCAGGTGACGCTGGACCCCGCTCTGGAAGGCACAGCTGGTAAGTGGCCACTCCATGCTGTGCCGCAGCCCTAGGTGACACTCTCTTCCCCTCGCCCCCAGATCCTCCTTCCACATTACCCTCCAGGCCACTGGTCCCTGGCTGTGGGTCAACGGCAGCTCCAGCTGACTTCCAGTCCCTGCCCAGAGTCCAGCTGGGGCAGTGGTGAGAGTCTCCTCCCAGGTGGACGGGACATGCAAACCACCCTCAAAATCCTTATGAGCCGGGATCTCTCTTGGGGCCATAGTCCCACCCAACGTGAGAGCCTCCTCACAATAATGAGACTTTGGAAGAAGTCTGGGATATCCTTGGGAGGCCACTTGCACTGAAGCTCCACATTTGGGAGAGGGGCAGGTTTTGGTGTCACCATCTTCTGAGCCTCAGGACCCCCCAGAGCCACCCATGGATGGGGTGGACACAGGAAAGACCCCCTCACCTTTGACACTCTTAGAAGGCTTCTGCTGGCGATGACTGTGTGGCAGCCGTGCCTGCAAAGCCAGAGTGCAGGTGTGAGGGTGGCACGGTGCCAGGGGCACCCCCAGGTGGCCTCCTGCCCGCTCTAGGCACAGCTCCTTTCCCCCAAGGGTCTCTTAGGCTGTGTCCAAAGGCACAGCTTGCAAAGAACACAGGAGCCTGAGCAAAGCAGAGCGGCACCGTTGGTGCTCACCCGGGGGTGTCCTGTCTGGGTCTCTCTGGCACAGGGTATCCCAGCCACTAGAGCTGTGGGCCCCACCCCAAACACCATGTGCACAGCACTGAAGCAGCTGGAGCCTCAGACGCACAGCCCAGGCATCTGCGTGGGGCCTGCTGGGTCCCCCTGGCCTCTCCCTATGAGGTTGGAGTGAAGAACAGGGAGGGCCCATTCTGCGGCCAGGGTGCCTGCCCTGCCTCATAAACTCGGCCTCACAGTAACAACAGTATCTACCACCTGCTAAGAAGGTCCCACCTAATCCTCAAAATGACCCTCAGCACAGCTGGCCATGCTCAGAGAAGCAACATGCACACAGCCACCAGCTTGGAAAATGAATTCACCTGGAATGGATGAATCCCCAAATCTCATCTAGTGAGACCTACCTCTCTGGTATGAAAAGTGGGGGCCCAGGGCACCTGGGTGGCTCAGTCGGTTAAGCGACTGCCTTTGGCTCAGGTCATGATCCCAGAGTCCCGGGATCAAGTCCTGCATCGGGCTCCTGGCTGGGCAGGGAGTCTGCTTCTCCTTCTGACCCTACCTCCTCTTGTGCTCTCTCTCAAATAAATAAATAAAATAAAATCTTAAAAAAAAAAAAAGAAAAGAAAAGTGGGGGCCTGGAGAAAACTGGGAAGGGTTCGATAGGATATCAACAGGCTTCCTCTTTCCCCCAACCCCAGCCTAACTCTGGCCCTTTCCTCAGTGGGGGTCACAAGCAGTTGACCTGGACATAAGGTCACAGATCTTGTGTCTCAAGAGACACTGTGCTCTGCACACTGCTGGGGTCAACTTGGCTCACCCTGACCCTGGCTTGGCAAGACCCTAGGGAGCTTGGCAGTAGAGTTACCTCAACCTGTTGAACCCTTCCTCTTTGTACAAGTGGGGGTGCTGAGGCCAGAGCCACAGTCTCAACTAACCTCTAGGAGACCTAGAGTCCTGCCTCCTCCAGGAAAGCATATGACGCCTTTCAGATGCTCTCCAGTGGCCTGTTGCCTAGAGGAGTTCCTACCACCCACCAGCCTCTTGCCCAGGGATCCAACAGGGTCTATGTAAGGTGGGGCGAGTTTCAGGGGGTGGGAGTGCACAGAGTACCCAGAGCAGTGCTCACCGCATAAAAATCTCAGCAATCCGGAACCCGATCCCAGAGCCGCCACCTGGGATGAAGGCCACTTTGTCCCTAAGAAAACAGGAGGCACTTTAAAGAGATAGGTCCCTAGTTTCTAACAAACAGACCAAAATACACACAGGGTCCAGTGTATTGCTCTGTTCTGTTCACCTGTCTGATGATATTCTCTCTCTCATTCTTTTTTTTTTTTTTTCTCAGTTTTGGGTCTCTTCTGATTTATTTAGTGCATAGTTCTCTGGGGTCGTTGTTGCCATTTTAGTATTTTGTTCTCTCTTTCATCTATTCTTCTCTGGACAGAAAGACAAGATGGAAAAACTCACCTCAAAAAAGAGAACAAGAGGCAGTGCTCACTGCCAGGAATCTAATCAATATGGACATAAGTAAGATGTCAGAACGAGAGTTCAGAATGACAATTATAAAGATACTAGCTGGGCTTGAAAAAAGCATAGAAGACACTAGAGAATCCCTTTCTGGAGAAATAAAAGAGCTAAAATCCAAACAAGTCAAAATCAAAAAAGGCTATTAACGAGATGCAACCAAAAATGGAGGCTCTAACTGCTAGGATAGATGAGGCAAAAGACAGAATTAGTGACAAGACAAAATGATGGGGAATAAAGAAACTGAGAAAGAGATAAACAACTACTGGATCACGAGGGGAGAATTTGAGAGATAAGGGATACCATAAAGTGAAACAATCTTAGAATAATTGGGATCCCGGAAGAAGAAGAAAGAGAGAGGGGCAGAAGGTATATGGGAGCAAATAATAGCTGAGAACTTCCCTAATCTGGGGAAGGATCAAGTCCGGAAGGCACAGAGAACCCTCCTCAAAATCAATAAAAACAGGTCAACACCCCGACATATAATAGTGAAGCTTGCAAATCTCAGAGACAAAGAGAAAATCCTGGAAGCAGCTTGGGACAAGAGATCCATAACCTATAAGGGTAGAAACATTAGATTGGCAGCAGACCTATCCACAGAGACCTGGCAGGCCAGAAAGGACTGGCATGATATATTCAGGGCGCTAAATGAGAAAAATATGTAGCCAAGAACACTTGATCCAGCAAGGATGTCATTCAAAATAGAAGGAGCGATAAAAAGCTTCCAAGACAAACAGAAACTAAAAGAATTTGTGATCACTAAACCAGCCCTGCAAGAAATATTAAAGGGGATCCTTTAAGCGAAGAGAGAGCCCAAAAGCAACACAGACCAGAAAGGAACAGAGACAATCTACAGAACAGTGACTTTACAGGTAACACAATGACACTAAATTAATATCTTTCAATAGTTACCCTGAATGTAAATGGGCTAAATGCCCCAACCAAAAAACACGGGGGACCAGACTAGATAAAAAAACAAGACCCATGGATATGCTGCTTACAAGAGACTCATTTTAAACCCAAGGCACCTCCAGATTGAAAGTGAGGGGGTGGAGAACTATCATGCTAATGGACATAAAAGAAAGCTGGGGTTGGGACGCCTGGGTGGCTCAGATGGTTAAGTGTCTGCCTTCGGCTCAGGTCATGATCCTGGGATCGAGCCCCGCATCTGGCTCCTTGCTTGGTGGGGAGCCTGCTTCTCCCTCTGTCTGCTGCTTGCTCTCGAGAGAGCACATGCTCTCTCTCTCTGACAAATAAATAAAGAAAATCTTAAAAAAAAAGAAAGAAAGCTGGAATAGCAATCCTTTTATCAGACAAATTAGATTTTAAGTCAAAGACTTTAAGGAGATGAGGAAGGACACTGTATCATAATTAAAAGGTCTATCCAACGAGAAACAGTTGTAAATATTTATGCCCCTAACATAGAAACAGCCAATTATATAAGCCAATTAATAACAAAATTAAAGAAACACACTGGTACTAATACAATAATAGTAGGGGACTAGGGGCGCCTGGGTGGCTCAGTTGGTTAAGCGACTGCCTTCGGCTCAGGTCATGATCCTGGAGTCCTGGGATCGAGTCCCACATCGGGCTCCCTGCTCA